ATATTCTAATTGTTTCAAGTATTCTAGTATTTCTTATGACCAAAAGCAGAAAAACATACATTAAAGACAGCAGAGTGAGTCAGTGAAGGGCTGGACTTCATTCAGGTCCCTCTGGGCCCAGTGTCTGTGTTTGTAGCTGCTCTCAGTGTAATAACAAAACAGGATGAGTGTCCAGCAACTGTCTTAGTTTGCGTTACACTGGCAGAGCTCTCAGTGAAGAACTGTGGCTCCATCAGTTATGAACATGGACATGTAGGAGCTGGGAGCTGAATGTCAGCTGTCACAGTTTATAACCACATTACATTCTTTATTCTCTGTGCTCAAACACTGTTTAAGGTGCTGATTGTGTACATTTAGTACACGTGACACTTTTTACATCTGTGCATATTTTTAATACATCTTTATGAATTATAAGAAATGTATTAGTTATATAGAAATTAGAAAAATATGTCTAGAGGTTTATGTTGTAAAAGCAATTACGTTTAGAGCATTTTAATCTCTAGTTGTTCTCTCTGCTGTTTCATTTAACCTTTAACACTTCTGCCTCCATTGCTGTGACTTCCCCTGTTGCAGCTCTGTTGCTGTACAGACATGAAGAGCAACAACAGCCTGACTCCCTCCTATTTTCAGTTCACTGTGTTTGCAGACTATGGGCCCCTCAGATATCTTTTCTTCAGTCTCTCTCTGTTGATCTACGTGACTATAATCTCTGCTAATGCTGTCATTGTTCTGTCAGTCTGCCTGGAGACCTCTCTGCATCAGCCAATGTATATTTTCATCTGCTGTCTGTGTTTAAACTCTCTGTATGGTTCGACCGGCTTCTTCCCCAGGTTGCTGATGGACCTTCTGTCCAACATTCATTTTATCTCACGCCCGCTCTGTTTTATTGAGATGTATGTTACTCACACTTATGTAATACATGAGGTGTCTCTCCTCACAGTTATGGCCTATGACAGGTTTGCTGCTATTTGCCAGCCTTTACACTATCACAGTAAAATGACATTTAGGATGGTGCTGCTGCTTTTGATTCTTGCTGTGCTGCATCCTGTGTGTGGTTTAGGCTACTTTTTCTATCAGGCCATCACTTTGCCTCTGTGTGAAAACAAACTGCACAGGATTTTTTGTACTAGCTGGGCTATAATTTCTCTCTCCTGTGTGGACACAACTTTATTCAGGGTAGCAAGTCAGTTTCTTGCTATGATAATGATCTTGATCCCCCTGTCCTTTGTCCTGTACACCTACCTGCGCATTCTACTTGTCTGCAGGAGAAGTTCATCTGAATTCAGAGGAAAGGCCTTACAGACATGCCTGCCCCACATAGTGACCTTTGGGAACTATTGCATCTCTCTGTTCTGTGAGGTTTTACTGAGTCGATATAAGACTGATGAAGTAAATCTTTTTGTCATTGTTGTTTTATCTCTGGAGTTTCTGATCATTCCTCCCATTATTAACCCTCTGGTTTATGGCCTGAACCTGCCTCAGATCAGAAAATGTATAATTACATATGTAAAGATTCATTGAACAGTTCCTGCTGCAACACCAAAGGCCCAACACAGACAAGAATAGTGACCTAAATGTATCTGTATTCTAGGTTTGCTATAAAACGTATATGGATGACTGAAAAAAGATAACACTTAAGCAGAATAACCTTGTACAATAAAGAAATTAATACTCACATTAATAATTTAATATGCACAAATCAAACTTTAATGGATGAATGAATTTACGGCTCATAAAACCATCTGTTCCAATGTCTGTGAGAAATGTTAGTCTCTCTGTATATCCTGTGCTGTCTGAGAAATAAAGCACACTATGTGTTGCTTCTCTGCCTCACCGAGGACGAGTATTATGAGCGGTCATTTTTAAAATTATTCTATAAGAAATTATTTCACTAAGAATTTCTTCTATTTTGGTTGGAGTTTGTAAATGTTAACAATCTTGTTTATGTTTGCTCAGCTGTAATGCATTTAAATGTTTTTCTGTTCTATTCATGTTTCACACACTATTTGGCCATCTATTTGGCCTATTCATGTTTCCTGTCACAGTGCAAATAGGGAACAAAACTAAATTAGCCTCAGCATCTGAAATGCTGCTAGTGGTTAAATGTTATTACTATGGGGGAAAAGGCCATAGAGAATGTATTTTAACTTTTAGAAACATTTAGAGCAAACTATAAATATCAACAAGTGAGAAAACCAGATAATTATAACTGACAACTGGGTAATAACAGTAAATTGATTTTCCACACAGTGAAACCGAGGGACCCAGGCACACAGAGTTGATGCAAAGTTTATAAAAAACACATCTTTTATACGTTTCACAGCAACTTATATGTAGAATTGCTGAGCTTTACCTTAGAGACCATCAAAAGGTAGGTGCCATTCAGATGTATTCACATCATTCGCATAAATTAGTCTCATGAAATATCAATCTCTTAAAAAAATAAACAATTCAATTCAGTTTTATTTGTATAGCACCAAATCACAACAAAAATCATCTCACAACACTTTACATAATAAGGTCTAGGCATTACAGGGCTATAGACAAAAACAAGTCCCCCTGAGCAAGTAGTTGGCAGTAAGTGAAAAGTAAAACCTCCAACGACCGGGGCTCTTGGTGGGCAGCTGTTCACCATGACCAGCTGGGGTGAGTGGATTGCAAAAAAACAAACTAGTCAACACTCATGGAGTGCATCCTCCACCAAGGGTGTCCCCGTAATGCTATTACATCTAAAAGCAGTATTCCCATGATAGCCTGACCCTCACAATATGACCGCTTGACCATTAAAACCTACGCTGGGACCTGGAATGACACAGATATCGTTATTAGTTTGAAAGTTATTCAGGCAAATGTCAGACAGGACAGACATCCACTTGTTGGTTTAGAGGCAAAATGGTGACTTCAGTGAGTGGACGTGGAGAAAGCAGTGAAGATGCCACATTTCTGCCAGTCTGGGTTCTGCTTGTCCAACAGCTGTTTGATGAACGTCTCATACAGTCTCTGTTACTGGCTGATTGGTGCACTGTGGAGTGATCCTTCACATCTTCTGCTCAGCTGGGAGTGTGCAATAAGAGCACAGCCTCTAAACAAAGACCGACACAGGGAAAGTATCAAATTATCAAAAAGGAAAGTCTTAAGTCTAATCTTAAAGGTAGAGAGTAGGGCTGGGCGATATGGCCTAAAAAAAAAAATCCCCGATTTGTTTCTACAAAAAAAAATCCAATTTACGATTTAAATTGATTTTTTTTTCCAATACTTAAAATAAATAAGCAGATGACAAAGAAATTGTTCAAAAAAATATTACTTTATTTTGTTTTGATTTTACCTTCTGGGATAAAAGTGCAATAAAAAGCCAAAATACAAGAGGGCTGGCCCTGCCATTGTAAACAGTGAAAACATAACATAACATAACAATTGCCCCATGGCAATTATTTCACCTTTATGGTCGTCGAGAAAGTAAGCTGTTTGGAGGCAGACGCTTCGCAGAGTCCAGTCATCATTAATGAAATGCACAGTTAAACTCATATAGGGTTGCATCGTACGACTGGAGACCATAAATCTGTTGTTGCGGAGTAAAACGACACTCCTTCCAGCTCCCTAGTGATCCTTTGGCGTGTATTGTTATATAGCTGAGGCAAGGCAACTTCAGAAAAATATTTGCGGCTTGGTAAAACATACCTGGTGTCCAAAACTTTCAGCATGTGATTAAACCCCGAATTTTCCACAGTATATATCAGCACCATATCGTTCGCGATATACATTGTGACAGATTCTGTGATCGCTTTCCATCGGGCCCCATTCCTATCATACAGGATACCACTTGTAATTGTTTGTAAGACTGTGAGTTGTTTTTTGGCCAGTGTACTTTAGCTCCCGCTGTCCTGTTCATTTTGTAGGACGCGACATCTCTCCCACTCGGCACCATACCTCTGTTTGAGGTGCTGCATTAAATTGGCCGTACTGCTACATTTGGTAGCAACAGATTTTAAACACACTTTGCAGTGGGGTGTTGTGTGTTCTGCATCTGACATGGCAAAACCGAACCAATTCCATATTACTGATGACACTGTGCCTTTTTTCTGAACAAGTTCTTCCCTGCTCATCTGGGTTCAACTAAGTATCATTTGTGTAGTGTTAGATATTTTTAGTCAGATAGATATTGGATAGATACTTTATGTATTAGAAATGTTAGTAGAGAGAGGATGTCTAGTTAGACTGTTAAACGCTTAGGCCTGCTCATGAGTTTCTGCAGGGTACATCTGGTCAAGGCTACCAGAAAGAAGAGTTGATGACTGTCAGCAGACAGGGTGTTCAATATTATTATTACGATGTGTATAACTGTAGACTTAGCCATAATGTTCCTATTGTTAGGTAATTTCTTAGTTAGATAGATATGGATTAGAGATCTGTTGTATTAGAAGATGTTAGTGCAGCCAGGATGTCTCCTCAGGCTGTTAAATGCAAGGTTGGTTAAGGCAGAAAGGCTGCCGTCAGGGACAAATGTTATTATGACGGTAAAAGTAACCATAATATTTGTCTTAATGTGTAATGTTATGTCAAATTGTTTTAGATACACACCA